TGTCGCCCATTTCATTTAAATTAGCTTATATGCTAAAATAATATTCATAGTTTTCACGTGGTCTGCTAAATGATCTAAATAATTAGTACCAGGCCAATAATACAGTCCACGTAAGTAACGGTAGCAGTAACGCCGCCAACAAGTCAATAATTTTTTTTTTTTTTTTTTTTTTTTTTTTTTTTTTTTTTTTTTTGTGTAAACCACACAATGTGGTTTCCGGTTCACTCCGAGAGGCACAAAGTACTATACAAAAACTGACCCAAAGATAATCTTCACTTGTGAGAATTAAACCCGGATTATCCTAAAATTTTCCTCATAAAGAGAGCTCATTTGCCACTTGAACTACCCTGTTAGGTTAAGTCAATAATAAATAGTAACTAAAAGTAAGTTACACATGGACTTACGGCATGTTTGATAAATAATGAATTTTCTAAAATTTTAATAAATTCATCATTTTGGTCTCATTCTCATATCAGATGATAAACTATTTTCTTTAATTAAGAAAAATACCCAAAATAAATATTAAATTACGTAAAATTATTTTCAGAAAACAAACTAAATTTTAAATATAAATGTTAAACTAATTAAATATAAGTTATAATTAAATAACATTTATTGTAAATTTATATAATTAGTAATATATTTACCTATTAAAATAAAAATGGGTCCCATGATAAGATGATAATGAAAATTAAACATGCAAAGTTATGACCCATGTCACCGTCGTCGTACAAAAATTAAGAGTTGAGATTGATTAGGAAAGGCTTTATTAGTAATGAATGATGGACTTGGCACCTCTTCCAAATGGTTCAATCGATCACTTTAAAGTCTTACTCCAATAATATGTAGACTGAAATTTCGTTAGGAACTTGTGGGGCCATTGAAAGAACTTGATTATTCAGAGGAGATGAAGACCGCTTAGCTTGTGCGCAAAGTGTACAAGTACGGTCGGGAACCTAGCCAGGAGATTGACGAGGCGACTCCAATTTACTTCCTTCAACGGCTCTTGGGCAGGAATTCTAGAGGCACAGAACTAGTCTAGCTTAACTTAAGATACCTAATGTATTAAAAATAATTATGGACTTGGTCGATCAAACTCCTTCATAAAAAAAGGGAGTGAGCACCAACCTTAAAAATAAATTATGGGTTAGCGCATGGGTCTAACTTCAAAAATTTTAAAAAATGATTATATTATTATTATTTTATATTCAAATAATTTAACCTAAATAATACTCCCTTCGTCTCATTTTGTTTGTCTAGTTTGATTAACGAGGCTTGATTGAAGCTATTTTTACTTTAATTTTTCATAATTTTAAGTTTATTTTTAGTATATAAATTTTATATATTTAGAAACTACATTAAAAGTACTGTTAAACATAAAAAATCAAGTTTAAAAATAATTAAAAATTACTAAAGAAAATAAGCAGTGAAGAAAGAGTTGGATTGACCAATGAATAGTAAACAGGACAGATAAAATGGGACAGAGGGAGTATAAATTTTTTTCGTATTTAAAAATTAAAAAAAAAGATTATATTTTTTAAGATTTTAATGTTGTTGTGTGTGCACGCGTGTCTATATATATATATATATATATATATATATATATATATATATATATATATATATATATAAAAGCCAATGTAGCCCGGTAAGCTCGCGAGACCCGCATTTTGTGGGCCAAAAGTTCTAGGCCTTAACCCAACCCACCGCGGGGCAATTTAGGGCATGTCTGTGGGCTTCGACCCATCTTGACACCTCTACTTCTGATGTTTGAATTTTCACAGACGACGTTAAAATGATAATGCGCTGCAAATTACACTCACAAAATATGACATGTCACAATACAAAATTAAGAGAGTTTAATGTGTATATCTTGGTGGGAAACAGAGTGGTTGATCTTAACGTAAGATCGGGATCAATTTCTTTCTTTTGGTCTCTGAAACACGGAGAGAAGTACACGCAAATAAACATACTAGGAAGTATTGTTTTCTTGTTTGAGTTGTTTCCGTGTTCAAATTCGAGAACAAAAATTAAAAAATCATCAGCACAATTGCACAAAGGACAGGCCAGGGCGCGACCACGTATAGTTAAAAGCGTGAGTTGGCATGTGATTAATTCTTATTGGGTCACACAGCTCTGTGAATCATACTACCAAATAATGTAGATTCAATACATAAATAATGTGATTTTAATATATTAAAAATATACATTATATTCAAGAAAAATGCATTATTTGAATATTAAAAATATATTTTTTTTTGTATAATGTATATTCAGTACACGAATAATGTATTTTTAATATATTAAAATGTATTCTTTTATTATAGTTCACACTACACTGTATGAACCATAGTCGCACTATAATTTGCGGCATGTGATTCATGTGCTCGCTATTAAGTCTGATCTAATTTTATACAGTAATTTTTGTTTACATATATAAGCTGGACACCATTATGGTAAACTGTATCTGATTAATATCAAACATTCTTGTGTGGACCATGGTCCACACAATAATGATTGACCATATTGTAGCCAGCTATTTCTAGATGAAATTCAATTCAGTGTATTTGAAAAATCGATCAAATAATCGACAATTCAGCTTTTGAAAATCGATCAAATACTTTTTGACTAATAATAATCCGCGTATTGAATGTGTTTCACAGCCGATGTGAAAACTATGAATGTTACTCCGTATTATATTAACCATATTTTGTATATTGTAAAATAATATATATTCAGTATAAAAATAATGTACATTGTATTCAGGGGATATGCATTATTTGTGTACTAAGTGTATATTATATTATATAATGTGCATTCAGTACAAAAATAATATACATTTAGTATATTAAAAATGTACTTTTTGTTATGGTCCACACAATAATTTGCTGAATATGGTAGGCTGTGGCTTGAGTGAAAAGGACTCGTCCATCATTAACCAAAAGCCAAGGGTTTGATTCTTGAGTTTGGGTATGGAACAATCTAATCTTCAAGCCAGTTATCACACTCAATAGAGGTGTCTACAATCCAGCGAATAAATTAATCACGGTGTTAAAAGAAAAAAAAAAAAATCTTGCTATAGTCTTTCTAATTTAGTATCTATTCATAACTATTTTCTCAACTTACTAAGCACTAAGAATTCATGACCTTGATCCAATTTAGGAAAGTCGCTTCGTACCTAGACCATATGATTATTGGTAAAAATACCCAAATGACAAGCAGCGTACGTACCAACGTAAACACTTATCACAAATTCTGAATTATTGTAGCCTTTCCAACAGACTTTTGTGACATATTGATGCGTCGTTAGTTTTAAATTATAAAACCCGGCCCATTGCTATATTTATGTGTTTTAAACATGTGACAACCTTAATTAACATCTGCTAGTTTAAAATTCATAAATTTTAACGTCTTTTCATACTTTCTTACGTGGTGTATAGGTTTTGGTTTGACTGTAACGCATTTTAATCTTGACGCATATAATATTATAATCATCCAAAAAATAATTGTTAAACCTAGGTTGATCGAATTCATTAAAATATAAATTTATTTTTTATGGACTATTTTTTATACAAAATAATAATAATAATAATAATAATATACAAAAAATATATCATTTAAAATTTTTAATTAAGGTCTTTTCAATGACACACGTATTAATATTTTTATAAATGTTTAAATTAAATTAATATACAATTATATTTTTGTCAATTATATTCATTAAGTCACTATTGTAAGCTCATTTTCAATATACAACTTATACATGTTCATGTTCAAAATAGTGTAAGTCTATTTTTACAATAGTAATGCAAATACGGCATAATTATGGACATCAAATAGGTTCACTAAACAAACATAGCATGCTTATTTTTACAATATTATTAGAAGTTCATTTCAAATAAGTTCATTAATAGAACACACGTGTTTATTTTCACAATACTAATTATTTATTTTTATGGTTTTAAAAAAATTATTCATTTTTACAATTATAAAATAAGTCCATTTATAAAATACTAAATGTTCATATTTACAATAATAATGTAACTATAGCATAATGATGAACCTAAAATAAGTTCATTAAGAGAATAATGAAAGTTCATTTTATCAATATTACAAGTCCATCAGTAAGTTAATTTCTAATTAATTTAATCGTCCATAAAATATCTTCATAAGTTATAACTATAGATTCAATCATTAATTAAGTCATTATTATAAGTTCATCTCACAATTATTGAAATGACATAATATATATATATATATATATATATATATATATATATATATATATATGATTGTCATTAAAAGATCACAACAAGATTTTTTTACAATATATATTTTTAACTACTTAACATTGGTTTTATTTATACAAAAAAATATATATAATAATATATTTAAATGATAATTGACGAATTGATGTCATTTTAATAAATCTACAATATTATTATAATGGTCATGCACTCATATATTTGATCATCTAAATTTTTAATAAAATTAGAGAATTATACTATTAAATATAGACATACTCCCCATTATAGAAACTCTCCGAAAAACATAATACACTTTATTATTTGTAGAGGTGACTACAAGCCAATTCAAGGTCAAATTAAACTAGCCTTGAATTTTCTCATAAACTTAAGTCGGTCCTAATCCGTGCTAACCTAGGCCCAGGTCCAGCTCAAACACGGCATGAGACTGGCCCAGGCCGGAATTTGGCCACCTGTAATTGTTTGTTGGTAGTTTAAAGATTGTCCTTATTTTGTCCTAACATGTACAATGCTTAGGCCGGTCCTAATCCGTGCTAACCTAGGCCTAGGTCCGGAATTTGGCCACCTGTAATTGTTTGTTGGTAGTTTTATAGATTGTCCTTATTTTGTCCCAACATGTACAATGCTTTCTAACTTAATGGACAAGTGGTTCACCCCTACGTACAGCAGCCTTTACTCATTACTTATATTCCCCTCACTCCCTATCTTTCTCTAGTGTGCAATTAGAGTGTTTCATTTCTCTCCCTACAAGAAGAAAGAAGAAAAAGAAAAGAATTGATCGAATATCAGAAATGGGAAGAGCTCCATGTTGTTCTAAAGATGGGTTGAAGAAAGGCCCTTGGTCTACTAAAGAAGACTCATTGCTCACCACTTACATTCAACACCATGGTGAAGGTCACTGGAGATCTCTGCCCAAGAATGCTGGTATGTTGTATGTATATGATTGCATATATTTATTATTTATATATATTATATATTGATGAAATCATATATATATATACAGGGTTGCTTAGATGTGGGAAGAGTTGCAGGCTGAGATGGATGAATTACTTGAGGCCAGGGATCAAGAGAGGAAACTTCACCCCTGAAGAAGATGATCTCATAGTACGGCTCCACTCCCTTATCGGGAACCGGTGGTCGCTCATTGCCGGTCGGTTGCCCGGTCGGACCGATAACGAGATCAAGAATTACTGGAACACTCACCTCCTCAAGAAGCTCAAGAGTGAAGGGTTCCAACCCAAACCGCGTAGAACTTCCAGAGCAATCCCCAAGAACAAGAAGACAGCCAAACCGGAGAAAACCGGAAGAGATGAGAAGAGAACAAAGCGCAAATCCGGAAGTAAACCGGATGCCGGAAACCGCCACCCAGATCCACCGGAGATGACGACTAAGGTTAAGGTATATGCACCGAAACCGGTCCGGGTCTCGACCGGGTTCGCAAGAAACTACAGCTTTGATGATCTGGCGGGGGCGAGCACGTCATCCTCTTCAGGTCATAATAATAATAATAATAATAATAATAATAATAATAATAATAATAATAATAATAATAATAATAATAATAATAATAACACAGTAGATGGGACGTCGTTTGTTCCGTGGAACATATACGATTATGGAGACGATTTGTTTAAGGATTTAATGGACGGCTGCGATCTCTCGGCCAATTATTCACTATCCGACCTGAATGATGCTATGCTGGAGAAGGTATATGATGAGTATCTTGAGCTTCTCTCGGAGGATTCTTATCTTCAAACATGTTTCCCTTCCTGAATATTATTATTGAAGAGATTTTTAATTTATTTGTAAATTCTGTTTCAGTTTAGGAAAAGGAATTTTGTTCTTTTTTTTTCTTAGTTTTTGTACGGGCAATGACGAAAGTGTCCAATATTAATAAATGAATAAAGACCAAAATCAATTTTATATAATCATTATCATAATGGTGATCAAAAAATTATCATAATATTTTTATTTATATTGAGAAAATTATATTTTTATTAAAAATGATAACTAAAGAATCTTAAGTTACATGCATGGTGCAAAATCATCATTTTTTTAACAAGATTAATTTGAGGTATTTACATGTCCTATATATATATATATATATATATATATATATATATATATATATATATATATATATATATATATATATATATATATATATATATATATATATATATATATATATATATATATATAGAATCGCACTCAAGTGCGAATGCTTCGTCCAGGAGCGAAATAAGAATGGATTCTGTCTGTTCACGTGTCCAGATCTAATGGATGAGAAACACTGATTTTTTTTAAAAAGCGCGGTGACATTTTCGTAAATAATTGAACATCAAAGTGCAAGTAAAATGTATTACAAGTGCATGTAAAAAGTATTATAGGTGCAAGTAAAAATTTACACTGAGCATCAATACTAAGTGCACCTATAGTTATAAGTAGTTGCACCAATAGTTCTAAGTAGTTGCACACATAGTTATAAGTAGTTGCACCTAGGTGCATGAATGTTTGCGAGTGGTTTTCAAGGGTATTACTACCCGCTGAACTCAGATCAATGAATGTTAACAAGGCAAAATTACATGCACTTATAGGTGAAAGTAGGTGCAACTATAGTTATAAGTAATTGCACCTATAGTTATAAATAGTTGCACCTATAGTTATAAGCACACCTAGGTGCATGAATGTTTGCGGGAAGTGAATGCTAACAAGGCAAAATTACATGCACTTATAGGTAAAAGTAGGTGCACTTGTAAGTGATTTTACTTACACTTTGATGTTCAATTATTTACGAAAATGCCACCGCATTTTTTTTAAGCTATTTGATCTGGACACGTGTCGCGCGCTGATTCGTTCGCATATTCCTTCCTGGGCACATATTCGCACCTGAGTGCATCCCTATATATATATATATATATATATATATATATATATATATATATATATATATATATATATATATGAGGAATAAGGTTCAAATATGCCACTGAACACTCCAAAAACGTGCAATTAGGTCATTGAACACTCCAAAAACGTGCAATTAGGCCACTGGACGCTCCAAATGTATGCAATTTCACCGGATAGCAGGTTACCATTAATTTTAGTAGGTTACCTGCTTACGTGGCAGCTGATATGACATTTTTAATAATTTTTTATAAATTTTAATAATAAATTGAAAAAAAATTTAAAAATGTTTTTTTTTTAATTAATTTTTTTTAAATTTATTAATTAAAAATGCCAACGCAATTGCCACGTAAGAAGGTAACCTGCTAAAATTGATAGTAACCTGTTATCAGGTGAAATTGCATACATTTAGAGTGTTCAGTGGCATAATTGCATTTTTTTTTGTTCAGTGGCCTAATTGCATTTTCAGGTTACGTTCAGTAGCCAATTTGAATCTTATTTCTATATATGATAATTATAAAGGTGCATTATAATTTTTATGTATTTTTTTTATCAATGTTATAATCTATCTATACTATATATAATAACAAAATCCTCAAATTTTAACTTCTCGCCCAATTCCTAAAAAATCTCTCTTCCTAATAAAATATATTGATTTCTACTTTCCCATTCGTACAATAATTCTGCGTTAAAATTCTATTCTAATATTATAAAATTATGTAATAAAAAATCTCTCTTCCTAATAAAATATATTGATTTCTACTTTCCCATTCGTACAATAATTCTGCGTTAAAATTCTATTCTAATATTATAAAATTATGTAATGCAATTCCTATTGTAATCAATCAATCTCTATACTATATATAATAACAAAATCCTGAAATTTTAACTTCCCGCCCAATTCCTAAAAAATCTCTCTTCCTAATAAAATATATTGATTTCTACTTTCCCATTTGTACAATAATTCTGCGTTAAAATTCTATTCTAATATTATAAAATTGTGTAATACAATTCCTATTCTAATCAATCAATCTATACTATATATAATAACGAAATCCTGAAATTTTAACTTCTCGTCCAATTCCTAAAAAATCTCTCTTCCTAATAAAATATATTGATTTCTACTTTTCCATTCGTACAATAATTCTGCGTTAAAATTCTATTCTAATATTATAAAATTATGTAATACAATTCTTATTGTAATCAATCAATCTATACTATATTATTATTATTATTATTATTATTATTATTATTATTATTATTATTATTATTATTATTATTATTATTATTATTATTATTATTATTATATATAATAACAAAATCCTGAAATTTTAACCTCCCGCCCAATTCCTAAAAAATCTCTCTTCCTAATAAAATATATTGATTTCTACTTTCCCATTCGTACAATAATTCTGCGTTAAAATTCTATTATAATATTATAAAATTGTGTAATACTATTCCTATTCTAATCTATATCTATACTATATATCAGTGTTGCAAAAATCGCGCCGCTGGACGCGGCGATGAAGGTCGGAATCGGCCTCTTCCACTGCCACCTCGCCGGGTGAACCGGCGATTAAATTTTTTATTTTTTATTTTTAAGTTGTAATGTGTCAAAACTTCGGCACGACATAACTTTTGACTCGGTTGTCCGTTTTGGACAAATGTTTTTTTTGAAATCGCGTATTTTTTCGAGATCTATCCACCGCAAACTGCCGTAGGCGGTTTGACCCACCAATTTCTAAAAAAAATGCTTTATTAAATAGTTTCTAAGAAAAAATTATGAGAACATTATATTTTATTAATGAATTTTTAAAATTTTTTATTAAAAAATTGTCCCGTGCATTATTTAATAATCTTTCTTTATAATTGGTCAAATTATTTAATTATGGTAAATTAGGAAATAATTAATGATGGTAATCCAAATTCTAGAAGAATATAGAATTGAAGAATATGTAATTATTCTTATATTATTATTGTGACTCACGGAATACAATATAAGAATATTTAATTATGGTTATATTATTATTGTGCCTCACGGCCATTATATACTAACAGAACTTGAAAAGAAACTAATAATAATAATATTATAATAATATAAGTGGTAATAATAATATCTAAAAGTAATTAAGTGCTAATAATAATAGTAAGAATATTAACTTAAGAATTATAACATAGAATAAATCGTAATAATTAATAACTATTGTCTAGGATTAAATTTAGAATTGTCAAGAAAGATAAGCGACCTCGGGTGAAATTAACTCTTAAATAATTATATATCGATTTAAATATTTTTAATATATTACAATAATTCCATTTCGTGCATCGCACGGGTGAAAATACTAGTTAATTAAATAGTAATGTGATTATAAGAGTAATTATGTCCAAAAAATACAATAAACATAATTTTGTATAATAACAATGCAATGTACAATTTTACTAACTTCGAGTGTTAAATTTTTTTAATTATAATTTTTGAAATTTGAAAACTGTTATAAATATTATATATGTGGACATTATTATATATATGGTAGTAGTTGTAACTGATAAGGTTACTACATTTTATATGTATTCATTACCTTATATTTGTAATACCTTTGTATAAGTATTTGGTATGATGAATGAGAATGACAACCTTCCCTCTTCTCTCTTTGTCTATTCTAATATTCTTACAACACGTTATCAGCACCCGATGCTTTACCGAATAGATTATCTAGTCTGATTTCCTCTACCGTGATGCTAATCTCCGGATTAGTGTCGAGAAGGCGAGATCATCCAGACGCGGACGCCGTTGTGGATCCCGTAGCCTCCCGCCTCATCCGTCGCGCCAATCAAACTTCGCGGTCATCACCGATCGTAAATCTTGAGGCCTGCAGCAATGGAGACTTCTCGCAATCCGATCGACGAGTCAACGATTGGAAGATGCGGAACTTCTGATCTGATTTCTCTCTCGTTGGATCTTCCTGAGATCAGCACTCCGGGATCTTGAGGAATAGATCTCGCAGCGCGGTTTCTAATACAGAACACAGACACTACCAGCCGTTGCCGCTGTCGCCGAGAAGAACCAGCCACCGCCGTCTGCCACCCCATTACCGCCACTGAGAGTTTCAACCTGGAAATCCAGAACCGAAAATGCTCTAGCGATTTTGAGAGAAAAGGATGATCTGGATGGACTGATCGCTGATCAGCCGCAGGCGGCTCCTCGGATCGTTGCTGCGCGGCCGACAAGTTTCAGGCGTGAATAAGAGGCGGACAAAGGAGCAGCGTCAACACCGACGCCGTCCGTTCCATTCTCCATTGACCAGCCCAATACAATTGGTCATCTTGCAGATACGTACAATTCCCTCTCACTTCATATTTATTCCTATGTGTGCATCTACATAGATGTATGCATGTGTATGTATATATGCAGTAGTATGTCTGTGTGTGCATATATATATATATAGTCCTTTGCGACAAATTCCATCTAGTGGCAGCGCTAATTACATTCTAGGCACTGGGAAGCAAGTGTGCGATAGCTTCGAATTTTTCCAGGCGATGGATCACTACTGTTTTTTTTCCTTACCTTCACTCCTTGTTAATGCATGCTAATATATCCACGTATTTCGTGTGATCTCATGGCTTTGAAGAAAAGATACAGTTAGTGATTTAATTAATATACTTGCTAATTATATTATTTTGTGATTAATATTTGGAGGTTAATGTTGCCTTGCCTTATATTATCAAATGCTTGGAATGTTATGTTGTCTGGGTACATGCAAAATGGAATGGAAATTTATGGGTCAAACAAATCTGTATTGTGTACATATATATGTGCATGCGTTACCTCGCATCTTTTATATGAGGCTATAGGCTAATCATGGTCCCTTATTTTGGTGTTAATCACACTGCTAATTTGGTTCTTTTTGGACCCTCGCTGAAAAATTCTGA